ACATATGCATCCCTCAGTTTCAGCCTGGAAACAGCCAGTATTAGGTCCTTAGCAGTTTCATATGTAAAACAAGCCACTTACTTCACGTTTGGTCAAGATTATTTTTCCAAAATCCTCCTGTACTTTTCTGCTCTCTGTCTTTGGGCATTCACAGCTCTGTGCCAAGAGGGTGCCTTCTCAGTTTTTGCTTTTCAGATTGCGACTTCAAAGAGAGGCCAATCGTGTGTGTGTGTGGGTCACCCCCGCTTCTCAGTCAGATTCTGTTGCTTCAGACTGGGTCACCCTGCTTCTCAGTCAGATTCCGTTGCCTCAGACTTAGGAGAAGTAAAAGTCCCCCCCCACCCAAATTTGAAGGGGTCAAAACTGAGTGGCCTGCTTCTCAGTCAGATTCCGTTGCCTCAGACTTAGGAGAAGTAAAAGTCCCCCCCCACCCAAATTTGAAGGGGTCAAAACTGAGTGGCCTTACTTCTTCTAGTAAAAGTCCCCCCCCCCAAATTTGAAGGGGTCGAAACTGAGTGGCCTGTTAGTTTCAGGACCTCCTGAAACCTGGCCGATCTTCCTGCGATGAAGCCCCACCCTCTTCACTCTACCTTTATTGATGTATCAGGGCAGTCAGTTTCAGGACCTCCTGAAACCTGGCCAATCTTCCTGCGATGAAGCCCCGCCCTCCTCACTCTACCTTTATTGATGTATCAGGGCAAATTCTGAATGGGGAGAAGTGGAACTGGTCACTATATAAAAGAAAGCAGGAAAGGAGAACCCAGTAAACTACAGACCTATTTGCTTGCTGGATGGAATTGGAAAAAATCTATGCTAGACGCTTGGTAGTTAAGTTGAAAGTCTTTCTTACAGAGAATACTATTCTGACTCATGAGTAGGCAGGTTCTCAGTTGGCTGGAACGACATTTCACCACAGTTTTCTTCTATCACATCTGATACACAGTGAATTAATGCCAGACTTTGTTTGTGGCCTTTATTTATCTCAAGTCCACCTTTTGCTTTAGAAAAAACTGGAGGACCTGGAAGTAGACAAATGACTCTTGTACTGTATCTGCACTCTCTCTGCAAATACCTCATTTAGAATCAGGGTGGGTTCTGATAGGGAACAATAAAGGATGTTTATCAGGGATTCATCCTGGCCCCAGTGACTTTAATTTATATATAAATGATGTAGTTTCATATCTGTTAGGTCTACAATATTTCACTCCTAAAAATGCTGAGTTTGTGTGTGTGTGTGTGTGTGAGAGAGAGAGAGAGAGATAGATCAGCCTTGCTGTATGCTGATGATACCACACTGTTGGGCTGGCCGTATGCTGATGATACCACACTGTTGGGCTGTCCTACCTCCTTTGACCTGTTGCTGCTGCTCTCCTCAGCCCTCCTGCACTTATGTAGAACAGAACTGTCACTGAAAAAAGTCCAAATAGTAGAGAAAGCAAGCAAGCAAGCAAGCATTTTTACTAGCTCCACTCTATACACATCTCCTCTGTATGCCTAGAGTGCTACCTTCCTTTTAGATGAAGAGATACCCTCTATATTAATTATTGAAATTTATGGTCCTAAATTATTGCCATTTGCAGTGCTAAAAACAACCATTGGGTCATTTTGCTCATTCGCAAGTGTACAGTGCAACATTTCGGGACAGAGAGGATTAGCTGTCTGCACATTGTAGCCCAAGGGATGCCTGGATGTACTCACAATGCTTTCCACTCTTCAGGTGGTTTGAAACACATAAAATAACTTTTTGAGCAGCCTTTGTCAACCTTGCATTGGCATATGATACTGCCTGCCACCAACTGCTGCTCAAAAAGCTTTACCTCTTTTTATGTTTGTGTTGGTCAGAAGACTATTTGCAAACAACAATTGAAGCACTACTATGTAAAATAAGCATCTTAAAAGGCATGTATCTTGTAAATGACAGGATGGATCAACTTTAAATTTTTAAAAGGCTTCTAAACAGTGGTGTGCATTGTGGGGGGGGGAGAACTACTCAATTTGCTACAAGCCATGAAAAAGGGTAACAAAATAAAATGACAAAGCGAGGAAGTTTTTTTTTTAAACAGAAACTGGAACTTTAAAAGTAGTACTGGTTCAGCCTTCTACAGATCTGGCAAAAAAGCAAGATCATACTAATATCATTCTGCCAAATAGGGTCCTGATTGAAGAACCCATTTGTAAGTTATAACTCTGTTTAGATATCCCCTCCTATCGGTAACAGAATACTGTTTTGACTGGCCATGACGTATCAGTCATGCATTCCTGTATACCTCACACTCACTCTATCTGTGATGGAGGGCCTCTGTAGTTTAACATGAGAGGAGGTCAGTCCATTGTCTGAGACAAGGTGAGGAGCTCGCATGAAACTTCAGAGTGACATCCCCCAACCCAGTGCTCAGATCACAGATTAACCCTGAGGAAATTCTTAAACTGGTTGACATTTTCTTATCGGAATCACTGTCATAAACTTACTCTAACCCTCTAAGGAAGGAGGATACACATTTATTCCCACATTCAAACTGACTGATTGCCTGAACATAAGCAGGTTCCACAGATCAATTAAACATTAAGAATTGTAGCAAATAGGTCAGAGAAAGGACAACAGAAGATGCCTGTTTTGGCTTAAAGGAAATCTGGTGAGTGGAATTTAAAAGTGTATCCTATGGTGGTTTAGCAACACAAGTTCAAAATTCAAGGGAAAATGTCAGCTTATTTATCAGTGAAACTCTGAATAAATGAAACTGTCACACACAGATGTCTTCGTGGCACGGTGGTTTAACTGCTATACTGCAGCTAAATTCTCTTCCCAATACAGGGTTCAATCCCAGGTAGCTGGCTCAAGGTTCACTCAGCCTTCTATCCTTCCAAGGTCATTAAAATGAGTACCCAGCTATCTGGGGAGGGGCAATGTGTAGCCTGCATTATTGACTTGTAAACCACCCAGAGAGTGCTTGAAGCACTATGGGGTAGTATATAAGCAGCATATTTTGCTTTTTGCTTTTTGCCCAATATTATCATTAAAATTCCTGGAAGACAGAGCACATTCTGATTTCAAAGCAACACACTAGCTGAGGATTGTCCTGGATTGTCTGCAAAGAGGTGGCAGAGGCCATTGATGCTCCTCTTAGTTTTTGCCTGCAGCTGAAAAGCAGCAGCACACAGCAGGAAAAATAAAAGAAACTCAGGGTGGAAGGAAAATATAATAGTTGTCATAACAATGTAACAAGTAGACAGAGCTTGAAAAGAAGTTTTTGTGTTTTTTTAAAATTACATATCCAAGGCAACATGTCCTTTTCTTTGAGTTAAAGAGGCCAGAAAGGTAAGGTTTCCAAACCCTGCAAATAAATGACAGATGCACCATTTCCTTTTCCATTCTCTGGCAAATTTATACTCCAGAATCAACCAGACAATTTTGCTTTGGCTTTGGCAGCAATTAAAAGCATTTATTCCCTAAGCATAGTTGCTTCAAAGGAAATCCCATTCTGTTCAATGCTGTGCAGTCCACAGATTTTAGGATTACATTCTGGTGAACTATTTCTAGTCAGCCTAATTCCCTGTATCTCCTTTTATAAACCTTGGTCAGTAGAAATAATAATCTGTCATTGCTGTGCTTGATTATTTCACTTGATAAATATGTGCAAGGTTTGTGTATTAAAAGGTTAATGCTGCATAGCCCTTCATAAGTTTCTTTGGGTCAAGAAATTGAAGTAAATTTAAAATTAAAGGGAAAGCTTGGGACAGGGGAAGAGACAATATTGACTTGCCCTGCTTGGGATAACCAATAATGTACATTTCAGCTGGTCTTTCCAGCTTTCTTGCTCTCTCTTTTTTGGGGGACGGGGAATCCACTGCAATTGCACAAACCCAACACAAACATGAGATTGCAATAATGTGTAAGCTTGTATAGCTCAGCAAAACTTGGGTGGGATTCTTTGCATTTGTAAAAGTCACAAGATGAAGTGGATTTTGATGTAACAGGTGGAAGAAAGATCTGGTATAGCTCACTGTGCCTCCTGGGCCCAATCAAGATCACCCAGAATGTGGATGTAACCGATAGAAACAGGGGCCCTGCCACTTGTGAGGCCTTGGGAAAGCTTCCCCTTATGACAACAATACACTCATAACCAAACAACAACAACAACAACAACAAAAACCACCCTGATCACCATAATCACCCAATCTCCTGAAAAGGACAAGAAGCTCATCCCACAGCTACAAATACTCAACTATCCCACACACTACACCAGAACACAGAGTTCTAACTCCTGTCCTCTGAAGATGCTGGGATTTGTTTGGCAACATTGTGGGCTATGGCCCTCTTCTTTGCTTGGAAATGGGCTATAGTCCACAAGGGCTTATGCCAAGTAAAAAGTATTCATCTTTAAAAATGCCAGAAGACTCCTTGCTGACTTTACAACAACACACAAGGGGGCTACTCCCTTGGGCGTACCACACTGCCACATTCCCTTCAAAATGTATTCGAGGGTTCAGCAAATTCTGTGCTGAAACGGTGGAGAATTAAATTAAAATCCGGAGCAGAAAAGGGAGAAATTCTCTGAGGGAGAAAAAGTACGTATTTTAGATTTCCGGCTGCGGAGCCAGAGATGCGGAGTTCGATTCCCCACTGTGCCTCTTTGTCAGGGGCTGGACTCGACGATCCCACAGGGTCCCTTCCAGCTCCGCAGTTCTGCGATGACGAAGAACGGCAGGAAAAGCCTTTTAAAGGTGTTTTTTTCCCCCTTGTCCTTGGCAATCCTCCAACGAAGGATATAATGAGCGGCCAGAGAGTCTTGTTTTGGGAGCCTGGCCCCTTGCCTTTTCGGCACAACAGCGTCTGCTACACAAGCCAACTCGCGCCGCCGCCGCCGCCCCCTCGCCGCCCCCTCGCCGCCCGTCGCCCCCAAATGGCTGACCCACAACTGTTCTGGCTCAGCCTCTCCCGTTGTGACCCAACACTTGCTCCAGCGGCTGCGTCAAGACCACCACAGCCGTCCGCCACCCTTCAAAAAAACAAAAAACCCAACGACGGGGAGGAGGAGTCGGCGGCTCGCTCGCCCTGGCCGGCGTGTAGCTCTAGAGGCACCCTCGTCCTCCTAGTATAAAGGGGGGGGGAAACACACACACACACACACACACATAACGCTGACGTGCTGGCGGCGAGTTACTGACGGACTGCTAATAGGGGGACGGCGGGGGTTGTAAATCTCCCGCCAGCAGCCAGCCTCCCTCGTCTCCCGCCTCTCTCTCACACACGAACACCCACACGCGCGCACACACGTTCGCTCGCGCGTTCCTGTCCTCTCCCTCCGTCTGGCACTAGAAAAGGCGCCGAGCGCTTGGGAGAAAGAGGAGGGAAACGCTCACGCACACGCAGGCATACTTCTGCGACTGGGTTCAGCCTCCTGCGCTTCGGTGTAAACCTGTGGCTCCAGTGAGATGTGACTGGGACCCATGTGCTTTCCTTGCCCGGTGGGCAAGCGGGCCGGCGGGATTTTTCGTATCCCTCCGGAGAGCCCGGGACGCGCCCCGTCCTTCAGAGCTAACGGGAACGAGTCCCTTCACAGGGTCTGGGGGTCTGCTTAGACGCCTCCCTGTGGCTTGACCATGCTCACGGAAAGGGGTCTCCGCGTGGTGTATTCTGGCTTGTATCTCTGGGCGTCCTTGTTCCTGTCCTTCTTAAAAGGTAAGTTCACATTTATTTAAATTATTATTTTCCCCCTTCCTCTTCCTTCTTCACAGGAACTCTTCTGATTTCCGTGGGCAGAGGCATCCATAAACTTTTAAGATGGCTGTTAACAGAAATTGAGGGGCTGCAGGCCAAAGGTGCCACAGTGATGCAGAGGAGAGTGGTTCTCCAAAAACTATAAACTAGTATGGTACTTTTCAGGTTTTTTTTTTTTTTTTGAGCCTGAAACGGGAAGGTAGGTGGGAGGGAACAATATGGTCAAAATAATTCCAAAGGGGCAAATGTGCTGCTAGAGGTTTTCTTCTCCTCCCAAGTCTTGCTCTGACAACTTTGTGGGTAAAAACATCAGTGATGGGAATGCAAGACAATGATGGGTACAAATGTGCAACGTTTACATTTGATTCCTAAATGACAAGTATTTACATGATCAGATATGACAAGATAAAGGCAGGAAAGCTTTCAGACAACTCATAAATGGCTTTCTTGCATTTGACAGCTATGAATGGAGGGAAATCTTTGTTTTAATGCTTTCCACTGTTTTTTTAACCTACCCATGGATTAATAATATAGAAATCCTAAATCACAGATAGCTTAAAAAACAGAGAGTGTGTAAGAGCATTAACTGGAATGAGAGAAGATGCTTGATTCACTCTGTCATTGCCACACTGTTGGATTCGATCCTATATATTCCTACCATGCCAACTGGTCTAAATAGGTTTGGCTTACTTGAGTTGTTGGAACAGAGTGAATGTGAATCCATTATATAAGATACATAAAATGAACCTGTAAATGTAATCTATTGTCTTGTTACTGCAGTAAGATAGAAACTGGACTGATGCAATTCATTTAAAATATGGCAAAATTGGAATTGCTAAAAGAAGGGTATAATAACTGCCTTAGGCCACCTTCAGAACACCATCATAAACTAACTTACAGTGTTCCTGCTAGTGCCACATATAAGGGTAAACCCCCTGCACTCACAGGTTTGACATGTCCGTGAGGAAAAGCTCTGTGGAGTTCAGATTACATTTACAGTATCCTAAAAAACATTAATTGCATTTTTCACACATTACCTTGAATGTATGTTATAGGAAAGAAAAGCCACAGTATATACATCAAGCCCAATCCTGACTTCAGCACACAGGAATCAATGGGTAAGAAATCCTTCATGCAGACAAGGGTCTGTATTGTTCCTGGAAAAGGAGAGCCAAAAAGCAGAGTTCCCAATCCCACTGAAAAAGCTCTGGGCACATTTTGATGCATATACAATAAGTGTAAGCACAAAAAATGCTGAACGCATAGAGGTGAGTAGTAGGGGGAGCCCATACATTATCTTTATGAGTCCTGAAAAGAGCTTATCTGGTAGATCCAAGTGGTCCATGGTCTCTTTTTGCTGAGGTGGGTCATGCACCCAATCTTGAAAAGATAGCTGCTCCAACTGGATAGTCTTGACAACCCCAATCCACTCATTTCATTTGTGGGATGCTGAGATGGAAAATAGATCTAGTCTCCAAATCCTGTGAGGTCCTAGTTTCCCTCTGTTTGGCATTGGTTAGGCCTCATCTTGAGTATTGTGTCCAGTTCTAGGCACCGCACGTCAAGAAGGATGCTGACAAATTGGAACAATTTCAGAGGAGGGCAACCAAGATGATCAGGGGGCTGGAAACCAGGCCCTATGAGGAAAGACTGGAAGAACTTGGCATGCTTAGCCTTGAGAAGAGAAGACTGAAGGGAGATATGATAGCAGTTTTCAAATTGAAATGCTGCCATTCAGACGAGGGGCAGGATCTGTTCTCTATCATCCCAGAATACAGGACATGCAACAATGGGCTCAAGTTACAGGAAGCCAGATTTCAGTTGAATATTAGGAAAAACTTCCTAACTGTTACACAGTACAGCATTGAAACCAGTTACCTCAAAAGGTGGTGAGTGCTCCAACATCGGAAGCGTTCAAGTGAAATTTAGACAACCACCTGGCAGATATTGTTTGATGTGTATTCCTGCATTGAACAGGGGGGGGTTGGACTCAGTGGCCTTATAGGCCTCTTCCAACTTCACTATTCTATGATACTATGATTCCTCAGCCCTAACAGGTCAGTGCTGACCGTTCTGGCTGGTTGTTCAGAGTTGTGCTGCCTAAAGAAGTTAGGATAGGCTCATCAAAGAAGTAGAAATCAATGCTTGAGGGGGAAAAAATACTCTTTTGGAGCACAGTTCTTAGAATGGCCATGTTCCCTGAGGGATTCAGAGGGTTGTAGTCCAAAAGAGTAACTTTTCCCCAAGCTTTAGAAAAGATCTCCAGCTTGGGCATGTTTCCTCTTTCAGCCTAAATACGTGCATGTGTGGGTCTTAACAGGCCCTTGGCATTTTGCTCTTTGAGGAACATTCTCTCTCAGTCCAGGTGCAATAGGAACCAAGGCCAGTGAAGTGATTTTGATAATTGAGACAGAAAATCCCATACCTACATAACTATATCTCTGACATTTTAATATGATAATAATACAAAATAACTGACATTTTGCTGCTCTTTTCATGTCTCCTAAAGACTCTGGTTTCTGAAACATGTGCCTCACTCTATGAAACAGTCTTAGTATTCTACCTAGGAGAAGTTACTTAATTCCCCCAAGATTGTGGGTTTTTCCAAAATTCAGCAGGGTCACAAATTCTTTGTTGTTAATATACTTCAGAATGTTTCTGATATGTTCTTGACTGTGTATATGCTTTAAAATACTTTGAGTACTTTTCCCCAATTGTTGCCAAGGATTACAACATTCTTGGACCCTTGCTTCTGATTTTAGTAGCCCAGCCCAAACCCAAGCTTCTCTAAAGAACAACCTGTTTTCTGCCAGGAACACCAGCTCTTCTTATAAACATCCGCTGTATCACCCCTATTTGCTCATGAGTTTTGCATACCATTAAGGAAAAAAAAAGGTACAGATACTGACATTTAGCATGGCACTACAATGGGCAGAACAAAATTTAGGAGATGACAGCTAAACCTAATTGAACACAATATTTGACCACATCTAAAGGGAGAAGGTAAAGCCAATGCTTTCTAAGTTCCAAGCAAGACAAAAAGCAGAGAAAACATGCTGTGTGAATTTTGTAAATTAAAACAGGGTTCTTCATCATTTTTATTATCTTTTATTTCAGTTTTCATTAAAGGGGATTTTATGTGCTTGATTCACTGCAGTAACTTTCATCTTCTAATCATTTTCTTCTTTAACAGTAGTATATATAATATGGTTTGTTTCTTAAACCTTAACATGTAGAGTACATCTAACAGTACACAGTAACAATAATTTGCTAGTACTTTATCTGCCATGGTGCTGTCTTTAATAATTCTAGGATCTGTATTTTAATGAGGGACTTAGAAAGTAGTTGAGAAAAGTGTTTGGACTCTCCAGCAGAGACTTCTAAGTCCTTCTCCAGACTACAAATCTTAGGATTTCCTAGCAGTTAAAGTGGTATTGAACTGCTTTGACTGAATAGTATAAACACATTCTCATTTGTGTGTCTTGTAGTGGTTAAATGCATGAGCTGCAAATCCTTAGTTCACAGCTCATGTATACTTACTGAGTCACCTAGGAACCTAGTACCCCTCAGCTTTGTTGCCTCATCTCAAATCTGTATCACGGAGATAACAGTTTCTAGTCTGGCTTACAGGATTGTCATAACCATGTGAAGCATTTTGAGCTGTATTAATGCTATGCATGATGGCAATTAGAGAGGCAATATGCGAGTATAATTATTTTGCTCACATCTAAGCAGAAGTAAATCCCATTTTGTTCTATGGGATTTGCTCCCCGAGGAGTGTGTAATAGAACGGCATTCGAAAATCCAGCGAAGCCTGAGGTTCAGGCAGGATTTGGCAATGCAACATAGGCAGCACTCCACTCGGGCTGTTCTAGGAGGCTTGCTGTGATCCTCACAAGCCCCTCCAGATTTGCTCAGTGTTCTTTCAATGCTAACATGTGTAGGTGTGATCATTTGTGTGTTCAGCTCCCAGAGGTGCTTTTTTTTTTTTTTGGCAGCTTTCTCTGTATACTATAGATCTGGTCCATTTCCAGCTCCTGCAATGTCACCCTGGGGTTAGGAGCAAGCAGACATCTACATCCTTTTGGCGGCAACCTCCCCCAGAGTCTTGAATGTTTCTCTCTACAGTGTGCATTTAGGACTGCACAGAATGATAGGAACCCTAGTTCCTGCCATGACTTGGGGATGTTGAATAAATCCAGCTGATGAATCTGCAACCATCATGCAGCCGGGAACGGGATGTCCTTCCTCTGCACCGGATTTGACTTGATGGGATGGATGGTGAAGTGTGCAGAGGTGTCCTGATCCAGCACCACAGTCTTAACAAGACTCGAGAGTTGGGGAATATTGGTCCTCTAGATATTGCTAGGTCACAACTGCCCCCATTCCACCTAACAGTAAATTGCAGTAGATTGTGAGAGTTGTGTTCAAAAACTTCTGAGTGGCCAAGGGTTTCCTCTAGGATAGTGGTTCAACAACCTTGGGTCCCCAGATGTTATTGGGCTACATTTCCCAGCACAGCTAGTGATGAAGACATCAAGGAGCCTCAGGTGCAGAAGATCTGGGGACCCAAGATTGGGGACCTTTGTTCTAAGTGCTGGTATGCACCAGTAAGATCACCGCAGCTCTCACAAGGATTTCAGGAAGCTGGCAGGGGTTCCTTTTCGCAATGTAGAATTATGAGGTGCTCCCATTGCTAATGTATCTGCAAAATGGTTCTGGCTGCGTTTCATGCATCCGTACTGATGATTATTATGTGGCAGCCTAAATAACATTTGGCACAGGAGACAGAGCAAGTTTTCCTTCTGGTTCTGTTTTGGACTACACTCTTCCTCTGCTCTTCAGGAACAGCAGGCCTGTAAAAAACTACAACAGAGGGGCAAATGCTATAGGGAGAAAGGAGATAGGCAATGAATTCAGTGGTTCTGCTGCTGTGTGAATTATGGGAGGAAGGAAATCTTGAACTATAGATATCTTATGTTTATAGGGAATGTAGCAGCTGCCTAGCTTCACAAGTTAAGTGTGTTTTGTACCACAAGTCAGCAGCATTCCTTTTTTAAATATCTAAAAGTAGGAATTCTACTTATTTTTGGACCATAAGATAGTAAAGTTGCTTTCTTAAACATTCAAATTCAATTGTGCCGTGCTCTCAGGGATCGCTACAAATGAGAAGAGTTTTTGAGTGATCCAGAACGATCTTGATCCGTGCTTTCTAGCCCAAAGTAAACAACAGAGATCCAGGCTTTTGTCTGCAGAGGAAGGAAAGTCTATAAATGGATATATTTGACACCTCTGTCTTATGTGCAGCCTGTACACTTCATCTTGCCTGGAAGGTGGTCTGGTTTCAAGAGGCATGGATCAATCTACCTCAATTTTATATTAATTTTTGTCTGATGAAGAGCTCCGAAGAATGCAAAAGCTCGCCTGGTTTGTAACTTTGTGATTCAACAAAAGATGTTGCCCAATCCTGAGTTCAGCTTTTATCAGGTTGCTTCTGCACCTTGTTTCTATGAATGGCTCATATGGCTCATTTTTCTTTTTACAGAAACTAAGACTGTGATGGAAACAGTGTCTCAGGTTCTTGGAAGAGCAATGGCAACAATTGCTTTGTAAAATGAGCCAGTTGTTGACTATGTGCTTTGTTGCTGTTGGGAGTTATGCTACCAGGGGTGAGGAGGGGGTATGTGTGGGGATTTCTGCCTCATGTATTGCAACAACCCAGCTTTGGATTCTGTGGGCTTTGCCATGGGTACATGGGGGGCATGATTTGCTGTTCTTCTTCAGGCTTCAAAATGCTTTGCCCCCATCTTTATGGGGGACTTACACAAAAGTAAGTTAGCTTCCAAGGCAGACTCCAGTACCAAACAGAGTTTGTTCCAGATGTTGGTGTTACTGCATGTTCTTTTGCCTCCTTTTGCTTGTTGACAAAGGTTCATGGAATTCATTATGATTGGTGTACACATTCCAGTCCCTTAATATTGTCATGTTATGTGATCTCGTGTTAGCAGTTTTCCACAGCTGGAGGCAATAGAGTGCTGCCCTTTCCTAATCTTGCCCCCATTCTCATTCTCCTTTTCATTCATTCCCCTTGCCCTCTTTCCCTTCCACTGTCTCAACA